AGTTCATTAATGCCATGCCTTATTTTTGGACTTTATAAAATATTAAAATTATGGACTAATAACTGTATAGTGTGATGATGAAGTTAATGAAAACGATTGTTTGCTAAATTATTTTTTATTTTTGAATATTTTAAGGGAATTTTTAACTGGTACAATGTGATTGTACCAGTAATAAATAGTTGAAGAGGTGTGCAAATGAATACGGTGATATAATCAGTAGTTATGAATAACAATGGAGGCTTAGTTTACGATCAGACGTACTTCTTACGTACGCATAGTTCTGGTTTCAGGAACTTTTAATATAAAACAAGAATATGAAATTCTTGTTTTTTGTATTCATGAAACAGCTAATATTCGCATTTCTTTTTACACTTACTATATGACCTTTTATCACATGAATCATTTCAACGATGATGGTTTCAACTTGTTTTCTAATGTCATTATTTTATTCCTAAATAAGTTAATTTTCTCAATTTTGGTTACTTCTCTATGAGCTTTAATCACATTCATCTTTGTAATAATATTCACTAATAAATGTCATCATAAATTCATTGACCTAACGACAAAATTACAATTTTCACTATTTTAAAATATTCCTATTAAAATGTACTCAAAATGTACTATTATTAGATAGATTTCAAATGTGTTACTAAAACATGAACGGTAATCACATTATTTTAAATATAAAATTACTAGATTAGTCTTTATTAGATGACAAAATCTTGTCTAAGTTTTCTTAACCTTCATATCTAATAAACGTTAGAAACAAGTTTACGAATACATGAGCGACAATCGCTTTTCCATTATTAATCTCTAAGGGATATCTAAATTCATGAGACATTAATAGGTGCTTAATCACTTGACCTTTGCCGCGGAAAAGTAGTAGATAAAAAATAATGGAAATCAAATTGTGGGTGGCCCTGAAAAGGGCCTTTACTCGTTCTCGCGGTCGGACGTCGTCACTATTAGTTTGTAATGGCGCCACAGATAGGACAGTGCACTGCTCGTACGTTCGGCGATGGGTCGTAGGCACAGAAGGTATGAAACATTGCTTCACATCTACAGAAAACCCAACCAACCGCATCACCGGTTTCACATGGAGGCTGCGCAAGATTACAGATGTCGCAGAGTCGATTCTCGTCATCCTCATCTTGTTCTTCGATGTCCCGTTCAGTTAACTCTTCGGAGTTAATAGAAATTACTTCCTCCTCATCGTTACTGAGCGTTTCATCCAAATCAACAGTTCCTCGTTGTATAAACGGCACTGCTACGTTAGTCGAGGTTCTTGAAAGGGTGTACGAATGCTGTTCTACATGCAAGTTTACTGGCGTTGTTGGTAGTCTACCGTGAACTATGAAGTCATGAAGTGAACTGCATTGTTCCTCCGACATTCGCCTGATTAACGCTATCACTGCATTCTTCATGCTTGGCTGACTCAATTGCATTGGGAAATAATTTTCAACTGCAATATGAGTCAGATAACCATCATAGTGTAACCACCTGTCACAAATTGACTGTACGTTCACATCGGTGTTACTGTGTGTGCAGTAAGCCAATATGTGACGGCATGGTAATCCGTTTTCAATGAAGAATGGACACGAGCACCGGCTAGTATCGACGTGTACGTAGTACGTCCCCGTGGCGTCCATAGCGGTGAATAAATCTTCCGTCAATGCAGACTGCGTTATAGGAATGCGAAGGTGTCGCTTCAGTAGTTGACAGGCAACTGGTGTCAGTCGTTCCTGAAGTCGACGTACTTCCGGCTCCTCACCAATATCGGCTTTCCCCCGTTTTTTTTTTTTTTTTTTTTTTTTTTTTTTTTTTTTTTTTTTTTTTTTTTTTTTTTTTTTTTTTTTTTTTTTTTTTTTTTTTTGTGTTTTTCGATTAAAGTGATACATCTTCAAGACTCGGTGACTGGTCTCGACGAAGTTCGTATTGCTCAGTTCAAAGAGAGTGGATGGCGGTCGAAAAGCAGTGGACCATTTGTGTTTCCGTGGTAGAAGGTGGTCTCTGACGTATCTGCCAAACGTTCCGTCTGACATTTCGATTGACGAAAGTATGTTGTTAAAACTACAAAATCATGTTATGTAGATTTTGATTTACCTTTCAACCGTTCGAGTGAACATGAGGCGAAAGAACAGTTGTACAATTTCTGATCGCACCCTCTACAATAACGGTTACTGGGTTAATGTTAATGAACGAAACACCTACCCTCTTTATCACATTCCGAACAAGGTGTACGCGACACAGAATATGATGTGCATCCGGATACACCTGCGTAATAGCAGCAGCAATTGCAGGTGAATCATCGGTCACAATGCCTACCAGTTGTCGACTGTTGGTACACCGTTGGAAAAAATGCAGGAAGGCAGAAATTAATGTTGACGTTTCGCGACTTAAAAAGGCAATGCACATGGGTATTGCCTTAAAATTCATATCCAGGGCAACGACTTGATATAAATGGACGTTCTCGTTATTCGTTTTGTACGTCCCGTCAAAACCAATTACGTCACAAAAGTGACCGGCCAAATCCACTTGCTCAGCAGTCATGAAGAAGAAATACGATAGACAGTTCTCATCGTCCAATTCGTATTCGCAAAGCCCACCCAAGGATGTTATGTGAGCTTTCAATTTCCCGTAATCACCTATAGTGTACATTATAAATTGGCAAATTCCGTACCAGGAAGGTTCGCGTGTGAGAACACTTTGTACCGCATATTGCAGACATCTTGAGCGGTCAGACATTTCCCATAAGATTGGTAAGCAAAATTCTTTATGTGGAATGCAGCGGTACCGGAAATCAGCAGCGGTCTCACAGTTTCAAACTCCCCATCCGTTAACCTGCGCACCCATGAATTACCCTGGTACCTCAGGGAATTGCACTCGTGATTGTGATGTACATTCCCACGTACAACAGTCCAATAGCCGTCTATAATCTTACAAAACATAAATGCGGGACATTGGGTGTTCATAGAAGCCCTTCGTTCAAAAAATTATAAAACAATTTACCAAATTACCTCCTCCGTCTAATACGTTGTGACGAACCGCTAGATCTTATACGCCCATTTCGCCAACACACAAATTTAATGTAGGATTTTTGATCTCTGCCAATATGCGAATCTCTCACTACATAATGACTGTAAGTCGATTTTTCAAAATTTGTGATAGTGGTCTTTAACGCTTCAACCGATGGAAACGCAACCAGAAACAAGGTAGTCAAAAAGACTTCCTCTATTTCCGTTACGTGAGAAACACCAGCGCTTGTACTCGGCACGTTACTCTTCTCCATAATGACGATTGAGATTGTGCTTCGTCGACAAGTACTGATAATTTATAACAATTTTCAAGACATAACTAACCAATTAAATCTAACTTTTGAAACTAGCCATTTCATTGGACGAAACACGGGATGAAAAATATTGTAATTTTGGGGTGGAAAATTTTTTTTATGGGGTGGGGGTTTTTTTTAAAAAAAAATGGCCGGTCGGACAATATTATTCATTGTGGCAAGCCCATTTGGCTACTGTATCATTTATCTAGTTATTGTAACTCAGACTCAATTCACTATGTTAATTTCGGTGTGTATGATCGAATGTATGTCTGTACATTAACTCTTAAGCTATTTTCCTATTGGTTTCAATGTGCAGATAATCGATAATCTATCCACACCCGATTAACTCTCAAATATATATGGATTTTTAACAGACTCACTCACTCTCTCTGTTTCATCGTGTGCTTGCTCACCGTACGCTTGTGGATTATTATTATTCATTAACAATAAACTATCTCTATAACTGGTGTTCAGGCTTTTTAATAATCTCGAGTAAATTCGCAATCCTACTAGGAGATTAAGCCTACCTAAAATACTCAGTTACGGGATATTATTATTTGGAGTCAGATATTGAGGACATTATCTACAACAAAATACATACAATTGGATTAAAACTCAGTGGTCTAAATTTGTTAGGTTTAAGAGGTTTAATCCACGTTTTGGTCATAGATGAAATAACTTTCCAATGATATCCAGTCTTCCACTTATTGACTAGCTGATAAAGGATCGTAAAGTATGGATTAGTTTTAAAAACCAGCCAAATCGACAAAAGCCTTAAAGAAATTGGAAACAGTGTATTCGTTTCCCAATATAATGATATCAAAATAGATTATAATTTACTAAACCAAACACTTACGATATTTAGTAGAAACTGAAAGAAAAATCAATAAGAATTCTTTTCTCATCAGGAACGAATAGAGGCCGAACATTTTGACACTTTGTCTGAAGAAAATAATCCGAAATAAACACTACATTTCACATACTGTATATAAGAACTGTGGTTAGAAATGAAATTCACGATACCAGTTTTGTCTAATTCGAGACTTGTCAGGTGAACGAACTTGAATCTTTGTGTTAATGTTCATATCGTGACTCAAACACAGTATGTTCTGGATCAAACGGGGATACGTTACATTGATGTATTTATTTTATATAACCACAAACTTTTTCAATAAGTATGATGCTTGTATTCTTAATAGGGGTAAGTAATCCACTTAAGACACTCATTTACCAATAAACGCCGAGCTAGATTGTATTCTAATATATCGAGAACGGGATAACTCAAACCCATCATAATGACATATTGCTCTTAACTATTGACTTTTGGATATTAAATTTAAAAAAATTTTTATGTTTGATCAATAAATAACCGAGTGTAAAAACGTGTTTTTTTTTGTTGCTGTTTAAACAGGTCATATTAATTGATCAATTCGGTATCATAATATTTAACATTATCAATGATAGGATTACATAAACATTACCTCTCTAAAAATTGTTTTATCGTCAAAGATATATTGGATACTATCGTCATGATACTTGTGTTCCCTAAATCGACTTTATTACCGTTCATAACTTATTGTTCATTATAAATTCCTTCTTATCACTCATCTAAAACGTCATTGATTTCAATTTCTTCCGATTTACTTAATTGTATTTACGATGTGAAAATATGTTATTTTCAAATTTAGACAAACTAATCCAATTTGTCATGTTAATTTATACTACTGACAACTTTATTCGTTTTGGTAAGTAATCGAATTCAAATTTGTTACAGTATATTTAACCCTGATTCTTCTTTTTTCCAACAGAGTTGTTTGAGAAGAAGCAGTAATAGTACAGTGACTATGATCTAGCTTCATAACGGACTTCTGAAGCTCTGATAAAAATTGTGATTAGTAGAGATTACCCATCTTGTATCACTGATGGAGATAACACATCACTGATCACATTGGATGATAGAAAGTCTTCCCATAACACGAATCGACTAAAGCTAGCATTTGTGAACCGTCGGTTACCAAAACTGTGGTTTTAATTTATTATACTCGCCGGCGTCAAAGAATTTAGGGTCGTTAGTTCAAATTAATTGCCAGTAACCTTGTCTTCAACTTGGATGAGTCAGTTGTCCAGTTCTTTCTGACTATCTATAGTAATGTCAGTTCTTAAAGGCACCTATTTTCAGAATGGATTTTAATACATTTAAAATATACCGCAATGAAAGAAACTAAATGAGTTGTCAAAAACTGTAATTCTTTAAGTTTTCTTACCATTTTTTAAATAACCGTAACGTAGTACGATTAGGGTGTAAGCGAAATTTAAGTGCTTGAGAAAAATATTCAGTATTTCTAAATGGTTTTGTTACTGGTTAAAATAGTCGGGTGAAAGTCGTCTACAACGGTATTTCGCCCAAATTTTTCAATCCAATATAATATTGTCAAAGTCATGTTTGAATTTCGATGTAACCATACAATGGAATATCAAACAGATGGGTTGATGAATAGACATTCAAGTGCGGTTACTAGTATAGACAGACACAAGAATATTCATTTGAAATAGAGTATAGTCATTCATAATGATGTAATAGTTCAACTAAAAGTACTATTAATATCACGAAGAACGAAAATTAAAAGACTAGGACTAATATTATTTTGAGTAAATTGAATTCACCTAAATGAAAGATGTACATATACATAAAAAATCATGAAACCTATAGTGATACAAAGAGTGGGCAAATTGTGAACCTAGAGCGATTCTCTAAGTTGTCGATGAGCATGTCCAAGATTTTTTCGATATGACGTTGTTAATAAGTAAAAAATAACTTCACAGATCATCTTCGAGCGATCATACATAAGCCTTTATTAGCATGTGTCCTCAACTCAGTAAACATTGGACGTTTGGATTTTCATTACACAAAAATGCTTGATTTAGATAAATTTGCGTCAAATATCAAATTCGCACAATCGACCACCTTTTTGTATAGTAAACAGTACTATAAATTTACATGTAGTTGAATATGCGTTTCCATTAAATACCTTTAACTATGATAATTCTTATTTCGTGAAATGCTTAAATAAAATATAAGTTGTAAGTTTTATTTTTTTTAAATAGTGTCAAGCAAGTTTCTTCTGTTCAAGCGCGAAGTCATACCAGTTTCTAAGCGGAACTACAGAGGTCTCTACGAAAATGATATTGTCAGTGACTGCAAATGCACCGTTCTTTAATGTTATAATAACCTATTTATGTTAGCAAGTGGAACAGAAAAGCACAATAATTTTTTAAATGGACAAATTTCGAAAATATTCTACAGGTAAAATTGACTCAGCAATCGTTATCGAAAGCCATCAACTCTAAGAGTTTTAGTAAGTTCATTGAAATTGCTTCAATGAAAGGTAGTCAAACAATAACAATAATAGATTAATGGAAACAGTTTATTTACATGAAGATCAATCACGAAGTATTTAAAATTACAAAAATAACAGTAACAGACTGAAAGCAAATGAGCATAGTTAGTCAACTGAATAAATTGGATGTACGTAGACTATTACCTTATACACGATGATAAAAATCAATAAATTGTCACACTTCATGACATTTATGGCAAGATATAGACGAATGAAATCCATGAATCATTTTCTCGAAAACTGAACGATTCTTAGAATAATAATTACTCAGGCAAGCTCATTATGTCAAGCGCTGATGTCAGTAATAAAATAAATTAAAATCACGGGGTACTAGATAACCGTTCCACTATAGTTAAGTACTGTTCGGAAGTATGCTCTAAACAGACAAATTCGTCTCAATACTTTCACAATACAATTCGATTACTAATTTGGAACCTATTCACTTTAGACTTGATGAACCCTAATTATTACGGCTTTCCCAAAGAATTTGTGGAAATAAAATCAAAAGCTAGACATCAGTGAGAACAATATATGTTAAATAAAATCGAAGGTCTTGAGTTTAATTGCATTTAAAGTCGTGTGTGTACTTGACTTAAGAGTCTCATAATACAACGAAACAATTAATTGATCCTCGACTGCATTTTGTAATGAAAATTTCGGATTTTGTTTGGAAATCCACTGTATTAAACTATTATTAGCATTTCCACAATCAGTTAGGTGTTAACTACTGAAAACTCTCGTGAAAACAAATTGGTTTTCCCCCTGTCAGCAAGATAGTATTACAATTTTTATTTACAATTAAAATTATATCTAATTAAAATAACCCAATGTATCGTTGAATAAGAAAAAGTTAAGTCAGCGAAGAAAATTTTAGACGAAATCATTTATTTAAGCTGTACATTCGTATTTATGATTATATGGAAAATATATGTCTATAGAAGGATAGAAAAGATTGCATCATAAATTGATTCGAGACTATATATCAAATGGAGTTCCTCAATAATCAAGAGGTAAAGAAGGAATATAAAGATGTGAATAATTTATGGGTCAGATACCAGAATTGGAACAGAATATTCCATTGCGTTTATATACATTATATGACTTGTCAGAAGATCAACGTTTCAATTTAAAGATTGCATTGATATTGCTGGCAAAAATCGTACGGAAGATGTGATCTTGAAATTAATGGAAAATTTAAAACCGACCGAGAAGCAAGCTTTTCGGAAATTGCCAGAGAAATATGTTTTCAACTACTTCAGTGTAACATTATCTACTATTCAGCTACAAGCATTATCTCTTGGTCGTAACAATGATGAACTCAACGCTAAAATCCAGTTTGAAAGTCTCATTCTTCAGACAAATGACCTTATTCCAGTATCTAATAAAGATTATGAGCATTTTAAAACAACTCTTGTAGACTGTTGTAATTAATATGCAAATAAAATACCTACAATCAGTCGACTACTCACAAAAGAATATAAATCTCAATTTTCTGATCTTCGGAGAAATCAGGACTTAGTGTTATGTCGCCCAGACAGAGGTGCAGGAATCGCCCCTATGGATCGCCTCGACTATGTCAGCAAACTATCTTCGATATTATCTGACCATGTCATATTCTCCAAAGAAACCGTTCAAAAAGACAACTGAAAAAACGGAACAGATGCTAATCAAAATCCTAAGGAAGATGAAAGATGAGTTTATTATCAATTGTGACCTCTATGAACACCTTAAACCATCGGATTCTGTTATACCAAGACTATATGAACTCCCAAAAGTTCATAAGAATAATGTCCCTCTACGTCCTATACTTGATATGAACAACATTCCGTATCATCTGATTGCCAAATGGTTAGCTGATATTTTACAACCCGTTAAAAATCATATCAATAAATACAACTCTCTTGATTCCTTTGACTTTGTCGACTCAATCAGAAATATCAACATAACTGGTAGGAAAATGATCTCATTAAATGTCCCTTCTTTTTTCACAAATGTTCCTCTCACAGAAACTATTTGTTTTTTATGTGACTATATTGGAAACAATAACCTTGATATATGTATCCCAAAGGATTATCTTAACGAACTACTTCTACTATGTACGCTCAACGTGCAATTTAGATTTAATGATGATTTCTATAGACAAACAGATGGAGTTACAATGGGTCCTCGATTGGGTCCTCTCTTGGCTGATTGTTTCATGGCCAATCTAGAAAATTCGGTACTTCGACCAATATTTGAGAGATTTCATTTATATAAGAAATATATGGATGATACTTTCATTATTTGTGAAGAAGACATGGACCTCAATGAAATTTTGAATAGTTTCAATAATTGTCACCCCTCAATTCAATTCACTTTAAAAGCAGAGGCAAGCAATGAATTTAATTTTCTTGATATCCGATTGAAAAAAGGCCGGGTAGTTTTTTTTTACAGAGATCTATGTATCGAAAACTAACATGGAATAGACAGCACACGAATTTTCATATCTGGGTTCTACTGAATAGAAAGAGGAACTCAATTCATTTTTTATCCTCAAGGATCAGGCGAGTATGTCCTACCGACACAATAGACGAGGAACTATTTCAAATTCGACAAACTCTCATTAGGAATAGTTATCCACCTAGATTCGTCGATAGCAACTTAACACCTAGACTTTAAAATGAAAAAAACGTTGACAGTGCGAAATAAAACCCTGTTTATGAATATAGAATTTAAAAGAGACACGACTGCCGAAATCTTAAATAAACGGATTCCAAAATCGTTGAATAAAACATTTTACGCATCTAAGCACCGAATTGTTTTCTCAAGTTGGCCTACTATTCATAGATGTGTTAAGGATAAACTTCCACTTTGGGACGCATCATGTACATCTATAAATTTACTTGCTAGATTGAGGTAGGTTACATTGACTGCACAAAGCGATTACTTTCCAAACGCCTCTCAGAACACTATCTGCTATGGCTTTTAAAGGAGAAAGTAAAACAATTACTAGTTCTATACAGGAGCATTTTATCAACTGTGGACACCACTCCAAAGGAGTATTCTTCTAAAGTAATCTACACAGTCAAACGAATGGACCGAAGGGATGTCGAATCAATATTTTATGCACTGCCGAGGCATTAGCAATCCACGAACTCAAGCCCGGGCTTTGCATTCAAAAAAGATTCGTCAAACCTCTCATCCTTTCTTCGTCCTAATTCCCTTTATTGGTATGTTTCGGGTTTTCTTCCTTTTTCCTTCATTTTTATTTGGTTATTATTAATTTTTTAAATTATTTTTTTTGCAGTTTAAACTCTAATTAGTTATTATTATTATTATTACCTTATACAAGTTTGCTTGGTTATTATTCAGTTTATTATTATGTTTGTCGTTATTAATTCATATCTATCAATTGGAATATTATCTGACCCATGAATTGCTTTCATCCTTATATTCCTTACTTGACACTTGATTATTGCGGAACCCCATTTAATATATATATATATATATATATATATATATATATATATATAGTCTCGAATCAATTTATGATGCAATCTTTTCTATCCTTCTATAAACAAGGTTTCTTTTTCTTACTTTCTGTTCAAATATAACAAAATATAGATCTGCGTGTTGATATTGATATTGATATCCGAACCTAGTACCCATCATACACCAGCGCGTTATTCATCAAACTAATGAGTCTATACGGGAACTGAATTTTTCTACATACATGAAGTTGTATGTAAAATTCTATATTTTTCCGTTGTGAATTCACTGCTAATCAAAATTTAAATATACGAAATATTCGTAACTTTTGCCAATGTCGGTAAAATTTACTTCGAATTCACATTAGTCAATGAACTCATCAATTACGGTAGTTAATATCAAAAACGGGAAAATGCGAATCTTTTTGATGTGAACAGGGAAACAAGAAGCCCTGACAAACTACGAAAGCTATTTTTCGGGACGTTATTTCATTTTATTCAAAGCTTGTAAAACACTGACATTTATTTTTGTCCCTATTTTATTCTACAGAACATAAGCTTTCGTTCGATGTATCATCCATTGCCATACCCATTTTTGTTCCGAAGCTATTGTTATCTACACATAATATTTGCACCTTATTTTCTATCCTAATTCCCAGTTTTGGACATAATTGTATTTTCACAGATTGAAATCATGAGTCAGTTGAAGCTAGACAACCATTGAAAACCTGGAAGCACTGGACGGCCGTTTCGTCCTAGTGTGGGACTCCTCAGCAGTGCGCATCCACGATCCCGCATCACGCGGGGCTCGAACGCAGGACCTACTGGCTTCGCGCGCGAGCACTTAACCACTAGACCACTGAGCCGGCATCCAACGGTGTTAATGTCTAACTTCAACCAATCCACGAAGTTGCGCCACCATATACCATTGTCTTCAGTGAGCTGATATCTCACAACAGACCTGGTTGTACTCCACTGGTAACGGCTTCCCACTAGAACTCCAGGAGTATCTCTTGAAGTCAGTCACTAGTGAGCAGTTGATTATTATCAGAAGGGGTTTGTGGAGATTTTAGAAATTTTCACAGATTGAAATCATGAGTCAGTTGAAGCTAGACCACCATTGAAAACCTGGAAGCACTGGACGGCCGTTTCGTCCTAGTGTGGGACTCCTCAGCAGTTCGCATCCACGATCCCGCATCACGCGGGATATCAGCTCACTGAAGACAATGGTATATGGTGGCGCAACTTCGTGGATTGGTTGAAGTTAGACATTAACACCGTTGGATGCCGGCTCAGTGGTCTAGTGGTTAAGTGCTCGCGCGCGAAGCCAGTAGGTCCTGCGTTCGAGCCCCGCGTGATGCGGGATCGTGGATGCGCACTGCTGAGGAGTCCCACACTAGGACGAAACGGCCGTCCAGTGCTTCCAGGTTTTCAATGGTGGTCTAGCTTCAACTGACTCATGATTTCAATCTGTGAAAATTTCTAAAATCTCCACAAACCCCTTCTGATAATAATTGTATTTTCCAAAATCATTGTACGTTGTGGTCGGGTAAATCACCTATTTATTCATGTACCTTTTGCACTAATCTGAATTCAGAGATTTCACAGGAAATCAGGATATCACAATAAACCCAATAGTGTTCTATCTGTGTTGTCTTCTCTCATTACCGTGCTTGCCAGCCAATCAGGTGCTAGAATAGTTTTCTTCTCTCTACCCCACCTCGGACTCACGCGTATTAGCCTCAAGGTTAAACCGATCGGCCTATGCGTCAAGGTCTCAGTCTAGAGTAGACAGATCGAGGTCATAACACTACATGTGTTTAAAAAGCAATTGACGGTGTTGGGGAAAATCCACTTTCACATTTCATGTAAAGGATGTTTAAACAAATTAATCACTGAGATGTAGAAAGTGCTACCTTCATCTAGTTCTTAGTCCTATCCGAATTCAGTGCTTCCATTAAAAATTCCTGAGATCTGAAGAAGTTGAATACTAACCTACATAAATCTGTCCCAAGGAAAGTACTCAAATTACTTCCAACCGCAAAGGTATATGAATTTTAAATATGACCTGATTATTTATAGTAATATTTTTCGCTAACATAAACGGTGATAATTTATATGGTAATGGTACACCATCTTTCTAGGGAAATCCAAGTTCAAATCCCAAAAAAGTTAACCATAAATGGTTTACCTTACAAATTGTTGCTGATACTAAGTATTCTACACTTATCACGAATCCGTATTAAAATTGTTGCAATTACTTGATCAAGCTGTCCACTGATATTAGTGATATTATTATTATTACTATCAATAATTATTGATAGTAATAATAATAATATTAACAGTATAGTGAAGCTAACAAATATTACAATATCTGAAATAATGCTATGTAATTAAACCTGTTATTGCTAAGTGGTGTCCGTGGTTTACATGTCTGTCTCCTCAATTATTTGCACTATGTATTTTTTGTCTGCCTCTCTTACTTTTGTGTTGAGGATTCCAAACTAGCGTTTGCTTGTAGTGGAGTTTAATGGTTTCTTCCAAGTACGTCCTATCCACCCCAAAGTCTTTTCTGATACTCTCATAAACAAATAACTGATTTCTTATCCACTAGAGCAGGTTGTTATTTGTGGTCTCCAGTTGATGAATCTGGAGTATCTTGTGTAAGCAGTTGTTTATGAATACTCTTTCGCTCATGGTGGTAGTTTTTCAGGTTTCAGCTCCGTAAAATATAACCATCTTAGCGTTAGCGTCGAAAACTCGGACTTTGGTGTTGTATGAGGTTTTTTTTGAGTCCCAGATATACCGCATTTGAAAGGATCATCCTATTGTATGCCAATTCGTTGTTTTGTGTCCACATCAGATCCTCCTTGTTTATCGATGATCCTGCTAAGGTACGTTAAGATTAAATGCATCGACTTTATAAAGAACTTAGAAGAAGATCATAATACTTATCGTATATTCACTATTCATATATGTTCAACGTATATGTAAATAACGTTCTCATTTTAAAATAATTATTTTTCCATTTATAGTATTAATCTCGTCATCTGTAACTACAAATAGATTGCATCTATATGAAAATATGAACCAGTCATCAGAATATTTAAAAATGAATGGTTTACAGCGAACTAATTTCAAATTTTCACAGAAATATAAACATGTAAATGACCAACGTCATCATCAACAGCGTTCCGACGTACCTACCAGGTTGCCTTCAGTTCAAGAATGTATATCAGATCAATATAATTACAGTGTTATCAAAGGTAAAAAGATATTTCAAAATTATTTTGGCTTTAAGTAATAAATCCCTGCTCACTGGTTGTAAGATGAATATTCAAAGTTCTATCGAAAAGTACTGATTAGGGCAGTTCATTAATATCAGGAGTAAAAAAGTAACTTGGTACGATTCTGGATGACGTAGGGTGAAATGGATAGGCCTAAATGAGGAAGAGGGAAGAGGGGGGCTCCGTTTTAGTAATCTAAATGTTAAGCACTTGTCATAAGGCCTAAAATTCCTGACACGATCATCGGTATACATTCTTGAGGAGTCCTATACTTCGATGAAATATCTGTCCAGTACAGTCTAGTTTCCAATGGTCCCTCTGTTAAAATTGATTCGAGGCTAAAACCAACTTTTGTCTCACTTATTCAAAATTTTCATGATTAAGTTGTGCCTGAAAATCCCACATCAGATTACAATAGACCAAAATATATTCAATCTATCTGCACAGCTGATAAATTTCAGTACATTTAAATGGTCAATGTATGTATTATACTGATCTAATTGGTCAGAATCACAACGTATTACTTATTTTATCGAGTTTTCTAAATGTTTACAGGTTATGTTCTTAAATTTCAGCTGTATAGTTGTCTTTTTATTTGTTCAAGATTCAGTGTATAAAGTTTCATCAAAGGCTAAAAGTCCATCTCATGCTTCCGGAATTCCCTTTTTGTTAAATCAGAAAATGTCGAACAGATTTTTGATATTCATTATTCCTAGACAATGAACATTTACGACACCGTTAAATATCAAGCTCAGGCCCTTCAGGGTTCACACTAAACACGATAAATTAAGATCACTGAGTTGACACTCAAATTGTATCAGTTATTCTTCAAAGCACAACAATCATAAAATACTTGTGATGTTAATTTATTTCAACAGTAGGGAAGATTAGGAGCTTATTCTAGTATGAATGGAATTGAAATAACCTTTATAAGTGTGGGACTAATATACGACAACACTACAACCTTGACAAACATATGTAATAAGACGAGATTTCAGAGGTGATTTTTATATTTCAAAAAAGGTACGTTTACATGAATAACGATACCATATATACGGTAAGAAATAACCAATATTAACTTCTGATCAAAATTTAAAACTAACGACGGCTGAGAAACTAACAGTGCAGATGTGTATAATTGCAAGAAGAGTGGATGGGCACACTCAATCATATTGAATCCAGTCATTAGTATCAGATATGCCTCACTTTAAAAAGATAAGAAATTAAAGATCACAGCGTTTTTACTATAAAACTGAATTTTATGAAAGTTCTCTCGCGTCTATAAATAACGCTGAATAATAGAAACTGGCTTTATTTGGTCGTAATTTCTAGACATTTATCTACAGAAAGCGGACTTCCATACTTTTTTGAATTCTAATTTTGAAGTTAACCGTTCCAAGTTTTCTACATAGTATTAGTCATATATTCACTTCGTTTGGTGTCCCACTAAAAATTAGTGAACACTGAACAGTTATTTAGTGATAGTGTAAGACGACAGGGATGACTTCACCACAGATCGAACCCAGGAACTTCAAGTATCACGGTTGTGACTTAGAAAACAAAACCGATTGGTCATGGTAAATTATTCATATTTTCAAATTCAATCACTTTATGATGTGATTCAATGATCATCTAAAATCACTGATAACTGACAAGCCTGAACTACACTGTTAACGCCTTTTTACCAGGAATTTAGAATGTTATCTAGAAGTAATTGTAGTTTTTAGGCGTTAAGTCTGGAGATTTTTGGTTCTATCTCATGAGTAGAAAAATTACACTTTTAGATTTTCTGATGTTTTATGTCTTGGTGTAAGCCACTTCTTCGGTAAATAAATAAACAGATTAAATTAACCAACGTTTAAATGATACAAAACAACAAAGTAAGTAAGCGATCAATCAAAAACAGGTCTAACCAAATCACTTTCATGTCATTCCGGTCAAAGTGATTTGAGTGCAGTAGGATTAAGCAATAGAAAGGAAGGCCTCGCTATCTATCCGACTTGCACCATTTATCCGAGATACCATGTCTGATCCTATCCACATTTCACACGATTATCATACATACGAATTCAACCCTATGGTTTCGCACCACAAATGTCACGTTTCTTCATCCTTAGCCATACATACACACACAAATACACAATCATGCGCCGTATAAATCGCTTTGACCAGAATGACATGAAATTGATTTGGTCAAACCTGTTTTTTGATTGATCGAATCGAATATCCTTACTTTGTTCTTCCTTACTATTTAAAATTTTATTATTATTTATTTATTTGAACACATAAATATTGGTACAAATGGGCACCGGATGCATATACGCCACACAAGTCATTTGATTTGTGTGTGGGCTATGATACTGCTCGGGTGCTCAGACGGTATTTTTAGGGACCACTCCCAGAGCCTTTGACTAAAAGGTCTAGCCCACAAGGCAGTGGAGCAACATCAGGCTATGCAGTCCCATGTTAGCCAGTGGCGAAGAATAGGTCCATACTCCACTTGTCCCTTCAGGATCGTGGAGCCCATGTGACCATTGGTTTGGAATTACGGTTTTCCAACTCCCCTAGATATAACCTCCATGTCCACCGGACATTCGCTTTTCATCCTATCATTTTCGTAAACAACATCCTCGCTATTTAAACTTTGGTTAACTTGTTCTCTTTATTTACTGAAGAAGTGGCTTACACTAAGTCACGAAACGTCATAAAATTAAAAAAACTTAATTTTTCTACTCATTGGAATATTGCAAATATATTATGTTTAATAGTAACAGTACATCCAGTGCTCAATTTATTTGAAATTATCAAGTCAAGCCTTGGTAATGACACATATACATGAAATAATCTCTACATGATCAATCTACTTAAATTCCAAGTTTTCTAAAGCGTAATGCATTTTTAACTTTTAGGTTGTTTATGTTATTTATTTCAAAGCACTGGATTAAGTAATGGTTCGTTTGAATTTATAACAAACTTGCATTTAAATTTATTTTGGAACAAAACATCTAAATGCATAATTTATACATTCGTTGGTGATTTAAAAGAGATCGTACATGTACGTTTACTGGAATTTAGCCTGCCAATGAAAATACGAAAAATTGGAAGTAATAAGTAAGCCAATTTAAAAAATAAATAAGGTTTATCTTAAACGTGATCTATTTAATAAAAAATCCCGGCGTTATTTAGGCTACTCAGTTTTATGATATTCGAAATGTTGATTACCTAACTTTACACAAACCTATTACCTTTCTTGGGGCTTAAGGACCCAGCCAGGGATCTGAAAGCTACTCAACATTTCACTTGTTTTTTTGTGGAGTCTGATTTTTACTGCTTTAAAAGCCTTTGATTCTGTATCAGGCGTTGTCTGGATTCGTTGTTATACATGCTATAGAAGGGTCAAGTCATTTGTAAGGTCAGAATCATCCAGCTATGTTCAAGATGTTTATTTTCTTCTGTGCTTTTTCTGAGATGTGAAGGTATTTATAATCTCATCAACAGCTATTAGAAAGGGAATGGGTGAGAATAGGCTGTTGTCAACATTCCTCACTTGGAATACATGTGTGAGCCGACTTTCACGCATGATATTGCAGCTTTGTGAATTGTAGGGGTTTCGTATGACCTCGGCAATCTTCTCTGGTAATTCATAGAGTTTAAAAATTTCGAAAGGTTTTTCTATGCACACTGTGGAATGTATTATCATAATAGAGAAAACTGAGTTTCGTTTTATTATTAATCAATAATGATCCTCAAGATCACGGATCGTCCATTTCATGATCTATCCTTTATTTCTGAGCTAGGTTTCACTAACTCTTTCATTATGTTCAGCAACACCATTGAAAACTTTCCATAGTGCTATCAATATGATCCTTCTGTAGCTCTCACATTTAATAAAATGTCCTTTGATGGGCTTGTCTATACAAGAATCCTTTGAAGTGATCTACACATCAGTTTATTTGCTCTTGAACCTCAGTTATTGATTTCCTTTCTTTGCTTCTTAATACCTGCTCTGGTCTACGATATTTCCTAGCAAGCTTCCTGGTTATATCATAGTTCTCTCGTATTTCCTTCTCCATGTTTACAGATCTTACACATATTTCCTAGTGCCTACTCTAATTGTTCGGCTGTTGTTGAATGTTGCATGATCCAAACCTATGTTAGCTTCTCTTTTTGTTCTTGTGTCTTAACTGAACCTTCTGGATCTTCCACTTATGAATGTTTGATTGATCTGGTTTCCTATAGTGTGGTACGGTGAAACCTATTTAGAATTGTGTGTGTGTAAGTGGAAAATCGTGGCTCCTATAGCCATGTTGTTTGATGCACATAGATCTACTAGTCCCTATTCATTCTTTTTTCTTTCTCCCAATGTATTTTACTTCACAATGCTGTCCCATATCATGATGTTCAGATTTTCTCCACTTGTTCTATGCACGATCAGATTGCTTTTTCTTGTTATAGCTACACGAAACACCCTACAGGTCTCGCATATTGTTCGGGAATTCCATCTATATATATTACCTTTTACTCTGGTTGTCAGTAAAGGTCTCAGCTTTATAACTTCCTAAGAATTTCGGCTTTCACTGTTCTGTGAGAAGACCTCTCAACTCTCAAGACAGAGTTTAAAAGTTTTACTTGACGTTCTTTGTTTAGCGTTTTAAGTGGTTTTTTTATAAGACAAAGTAGCTAACACAACGCATAACTGTGCTCCTTTACCACAGGTTTGGACCGATATTCGCTCCAAATTAACTCTATGTGTAACTATTTTCAATGACATTCACCAAAAATTTTGTTCTGAAAGACGAAGACCTATTTTAAGAAAACTAAAGAAAAACTTGTTTTTTACGAAGTATACCTGTTTGGTTTATTCTATATAATTTAAGTTAGCTAAATAGGATTGAAAAACCAGTTCTCCATTTCTTGGGCATAGGCCATCAAGATACCAACTTCTCAACATTCGTGATTTGAAGTCATATAATAGTGTGAATAAACATGGTTTTATAGATAATAATAAAATGGACTTGTAAAGACTAATCCAATCAGTTTAGATATATAAATCTATATTGACTGACGCCTCCAAATGTAACATATCACTGGATCTGAAATTCTTGTGTTTGGTTTCTGCTGCGAATTCCTATACAGGAACGAATCCGCCTCCCAATGACTTCTGGTATTTGACGGTTATTTAACAAAGTCAGTAGGTGACGTGAAACTTCCAATTCTGTTAAACATATTTTTCTTATCTTCACGTCATTAGATGTACTACACAATTTAAAGTTTATCATCAGTTAGAACGAGCAGAATTGATGAGTAATGATCAACCGGATTATGAATTATGCGGCCAACACTTAAATCAACTCCCTGTTCATGAATTTCATTCGTATGGACGTGTCATGATTATTGAATTGGATCAGATCACAAAAGAGAAGCAAAAAGTTATAGGATTTTATGAATTTCTTGACAGAGGTAAGCCGGAAATAAATGTCAGTTTTCTCTGTTTTCGTAAGTTATTTTTGAGATGATAGTCTAATAATAACCAACTCAATAGTGACTGTGATCGGGATTACTCTTTGGATATACTATTTTTAAAATAATACGAAATAACTATTGAAAATAATAATCTAACTAGACATCATTATTTTAGAGTTTCTTGGTTGAAGGTATTAAAGTTTGTCTGTTTCATGTTTTGGTCCATCGTAAAGTATTTTTTGATTGTGTTATTGAACTATTTATAACACTGTTGAACCAATCAGCATAAATCATTCTTTTTTTCGGTTGAGGTTTCAGTTTGTTTTAAAATGTATGTTAAACGCTACACTTCAGCTGAATAGTAATTTTTCTTAGTCAAATATCAGGAGTCGACATTCTGTTGTTTTCGTGGCTCAGTAAAACATAAGTGATCAGGGTTGCCAATAATATCGTATGTAGAGTCGTGTATTTCAGTGAAAACCCTGTCATATGTATGGCAAAAACAACTAATAGGTTATTCGTAAGTGATATTCGCTAAGAGTCGGTCATATCTGGGGTAATACCGAAAATAAAGAAGGACTAGACAGGTGTTTCGTCCATATTTTGTATTCTTCAGCATCACTCACTAAGGATCTCATCACAGATTAACACTAGGAACTTCAGATATCGCTGCTAGCATTTGACCATTAGAACCACTTGGTTAGTATTCAATGGCACTGACCTTCCGCTTCAATGGAACCATGATTGGATATGAATATCAACCAGCACCATTGATTACGACCGTCACTCCCGACAAGTCAGCATTTCAATGAACGTAACCTCTAATTAGAAGCTCAGTAACTCGTCCTGATAGTAGTCACTAGCGAGAATATGATGAGTGTTCGTTTATGACATCCTTCACTAACGGATCTCAGTTGGAAAAACATTCGGAACCAGAGAATTCTATTTCATACTAATATCATAGTGAACGAGAACTCAAATAGGGAAAACCAATTTGCTGTGTAATGCAAAGTCACAGATTGCCTTCGTAAAATATGAAAACCGTAAATTAAATACATTATTTCACATCTTCCTTCAGTTATCATGTAAGTGCTTCATAATTCTTCTAATTCTGTCGTTATTACAATTGCTCTCTATTTCCCTTACTGTTATCTTCAATTCAATCTTCTGGCAGGCATTCTACTTCTGATTGGGGCTACATACTACTTATACTTGTCAGTATAAGTAGCGTACACCACAGCATGGGGTACTTCAATAACTCATAATAACGACATATATATTTTCGATGACAGTTCACTCTCAAAATATAAATATCTAGTCAGAAACAATATACAAAATCTTTCTCACAAATACACACTTTTAGAGTACACTGAAAACTTAAATTGCTAAAGGATCCGGATTTTCTTGGGTTATTCAGTAAACACCGAAACTGTCAGGCTTCATTGTTTATTATGTCATGCTATCCAGAAGAACTTTGGTAAAACCATCCCGAAAGTGAACATTATTTAGTGCATGAACAAGAGAGATATTTTAACAAAATTCATTAATTGGTCACCATGACGTGTAGATTTAGTACCTTAAATAGTTATGGTAAATTCATTTAGCCTATAAAGTTCATTTATACACTTGGTGTGTGGTCAGCATTGGCTGATAGCTATGATGGCTTGCTTTTTCACCATAGCAACATATATTTACAATCACAAGATCCGTTTATCGGACCTTTCTTGTATTTTCCTTCGACTGTTGAATATAAATAATCAACTCATAGACAACAACACCTCATAAATGTATATACTATTTATGTTCCATATCTTTTTGCTTCGCATTTTAAGTTGTTAATGTAAAGTTTGGTAGATAACAGTTAACTATTGAGTTTGTTCATAATATTCAAATACAAAATTTTTGATAGAAAGTGGCAGGACAAAGGCGAAATATAACACTAGGATTGTTATTACTCAGTGATTTATTTTGTATATATTTTTAAAGCACTACATGTCATTTTGGATTTATTTTCAAATAATACTGTGGGGATATTGGACGATCAGCTGAGGTTTCAGACTCAGTACCAATCGCCTCAAACACTAAAGTGTTATTTGTTGAACTACTGATACAAGATAGCCAATGCAAACCACAACCCTCATTTTATAAAGCTTGTTACGAAATAGCTTTATTGAGGCAAGCCACTCAGGTTAGAAATATCTCAGCAATGGATGAACGTAATAAAACCCTGAATATCGAAAAAAAACTATAAATTCATACCAATGCATTTACCAAAAAATCTTCATGTCTCATCAGTTTTTATCTTATTCCTAGAGTTGTAAGTTACAATATTTTGTTTCAAGTATCAGTTCACACAATTATAAAATATACTCGACATTAAATTTGAAATTAGAGCAACTTATGGCTTTATAATTAGTTGGATTCCATTTTTACTAAACTGTCAATTTCGATTACATAGATTAAAATTAAAATGTTGAATAACATATAAACCAAGTTTGTTTTATTTGTTCCTTTAGGTTAACTTGAGTTAATTAGTTGACAATTAGATTCCAAAAAAGAGGGTACATCCTTGTTATGTTGAGTGATCGATTTCAGTTACTTTTTCACCTTAACATGCATAATCAGCCTAAAAATAGAGAGGATGACGATAAAGACTGTGTAAGAAGCTTAATAATAGTAATCCATCCAGTTAATTTTTCGGTATCCACATCGATATTAACATTTAATAGCTGACCTTGGCTGCATGAACTGTTTATTTCATAGTAATAACCTGACTATACTTTTGTCTAATTTTTTGTGTGGTACCATGTGATTTATTCCATTTCACCAAGCATACCACTAAATTCCCAACAAAAGATCATTGATTGCAAATTAAAAACCGGTTTTGGCGTAACTGTTAAGTTAAATTGTTGAAAATACTCAAAATTAAAATGATTATTCTTTAAGTACGATCTGATGTCAAACTGGAGTTTATCACATTTGGTACCATTTATTTTGTAAATGATATTGGATTTGTGTTTTTGCTGTTGTATCTTTTAGTATAAAATTAATTAAAGTGATTAATTTGCAAACTTTTAACAGTGAGTTTTACGTAAAACTAACAGAAGTCGAGTTTGTTCAGTGTTCCGCAAAACATGGAGTTTCAGTTGTTTCGAATAGTGTCAGTACACAGTTTTTGTGTACTGTCGCAGCGTCAATGTGGTAATTTAGTAACCAATAAGAGCGAGTTGGCTTTTTGTACACTTCAGTATTTAACGATTGTGTGTTTACGAGCGTTGAAGAGCGCCATTAGAACGTATGAAAGAGCCACGTACAGCCATTATGTGGTGAGGGATTCTCATTTACATAGAGATCGAAAGTCGTATATTAGATTCGTATGTTGGAGAAATGGCCGTAGAACACCTAGCGGTTCCTCACAGCCGAGTAGACGAACGAGGTAATTTGATTAGTGTTGTTATAAATTTTCATAAAGGACTACCGTGAACACTCAATGTCCTTCCTTCATATTTTGTAAGTTACCAACTATCAAGATAACGTCAATATGGATGCAACGTTAAGCAATGACGAGGAAGAAATTGTTTCGATGGACTCAGAGGAGTTCACTGAACCAGACGACGACAATGACGAAAACGCACATGACAACAGACTTTATGATATTTACAATCTTGCGCAACCGCCACATGAAACTGCTGATGGAAGTGCCTGGATTTTTTGTCCATGCGAAGCAATGCTTCACTTATTTTGTGCCTACGACCCATCACCACACGTCCATGGAATCCACTGTCCCATGTGCGGCGCTATAACGGAGTCGTAGCAACGCCTTTGTTCATGAAATTCGGAACTGTTAAGAGAACGAGTAAAGGCCCTTTTCGGGGCCACCCACAATTTGATTTAAATTCTTTTGTTTTAATTCATTATTTCCATAGCAAAGGTCAATTTATGAAGCTATCGAAATTCATTTTAGATTAATAGTCATTATGTGAATATCGTCCACGTATTCGTAAACACTTCTTAAGCTTTATCAAATATACGGTTTAAGTAAACGTCTTCGTATAGGAAATGTCATCTACTGAACACTAATCTGTCTAACAATAGTACATGCAAAACTTATTCAGAATGTTTCAGTGTTTTGTCATAAAGTTACTATAGGCGAATGTAGTACTACCAGTTTACTAGTACAACGACATCATTTCTATGGGAAAGGTCAACAGAACTAACATCGATGAATCCTAATTAAGCCTAAGTGATTAAGCAATATAATCAATGGAGATTTATAGAAATTTCGTGGAATTTCGGAAAAATTAAAGCTTGTGTTTATATTTTGTTGTGGATACAGAATAATATGCCAATCATTGTCATGTTAAGTCTATGGTGGCCTTGGACTTTAAATGTACATTCCCTATTGGCTATTATTTAATTCATTCGTTACATATTGTGTAAATGTTGTTTACTATTTTTATGGTACGATGTGGTTTGCTTGTTTGGTATATAAATAGAGCATGTCTGAAATAGAATGATTCATATCTCCGAGGCTGTGACTTGTGTTCTGGACTCAACTGACTGGGCTAGACAGGGAAGTGAGACCAATCGAGACTCTAGGCCGTCCGTATGTGTTTACGTGTCATTGAATCGGTCGATAAGTACGCTGCTCTCTAATTTTCCAGTCAAGGACACAACAATTAGCACAGGGTAAAAGTCGACCACAACTTAAAGTCATAACATATTCCAAACGTCCAAATGATCAATTTCACGATATTGAAACATTCTTATTACATTTTGCATGTAACATTGTTACAGATAAGTGCCGAATTAATTGATATAGACATTTTATAAAACGTATAAATGTATCACTATCACGTGAAAGGTATTCACATTTTTTTATTTGAATAGTTGAGATCATGAGTGAATTGAAGCTAGAGTACCATGATACAATAGGCTTTTATTTACAACATTGACATTAAACGTACGTATATCCAAATTTCATTTGATACAATTCTCTTTTAATGATCTAATCCACGAAATTTCTATAAATCTCCATTGATTATATTGCTTAATCACTTAGGCTTAATTAGGATTCATCGATGTTAGTTCTGTTGACCTTTCCCATAGAAATGATGTCGTTGTACTAGTAAACTGGTAGTACTACATTCGCCTATAGTAACTTACTGTATGACAAAACACTGAAACATTCTGAATAAGTTTTGCATGTACTATTGTTAGACAGATTAGTGTTCAGTAGATGACATTTCCTATACGAAGACGTTTACTTAAACCGTATATTTGATAAAGCTTAAGAAGTGTTTACGAATACGTGGACGATATTCACATAATGACTATTAATCTAAAATGAATTTCGATAGCTTCATAAATTGACCTTTGCTATGGAAATAATGAATTAAAACAAAAGAATTTAAATCAAATTGTGGGTGGCCCCGAAAAGGGCCTTTACTCGTTCTCTTAACAGTTCCGAATTTCATGAACAAAGGCGTTGCTACGACTCCGTTATAGCGCCGCACATGGGACAGTGGATTCCATGGACGTGTGGTGATGGGTCGTAGGCACAAAATAAGTGAAGCATTGCTTCGCATGGACAAAAAATCCAGGCATTCCATCAGCAGTTTCATGTGGCGGTTGCGCAAGATTGTAAATATCATAAAGTCTGTTGTCATGTGCGTTTTCGTCATTGTCGTCGTCTGGTTCAGTGAACTCCTCTGAGTCCATCGAAACAATTTCTTCCTCGTCATTGCTTAACGTTGCATCCATATTGACGTTATCTTGATAGTTGGTAACTTACAAAATATGAAGGAAGGACATTGAGTGTTCACGGTAGTCCTTTATGAAAATTTATAACAACACTAATCAAATTACCTCGTTCGTCTACTCGGCTGTGAGGAACCGCTAGGTGTTCTACGGCCATTTAATATACGACTTTCGATCTCTATGTAAATGAGAATCCCTCACCACATAATGGCTGTACGTGGCTCTTTCATACGTTCTAATGGCGCTCTTCAAGAGATTGGATCGTCACGAGATACAATGTGCTCAAGAACGAACAGGTTATCGGTTTCTGTAACAACGTGAGGAACGACGGAGCTCGTGCTTCGCATGTTACTACCGTCCGTAATTGTAAGAAAATGTGCTCTGTCGTCAAGTCTTCATATTTTATATCGATTTTATAAAACAAACGACCAATTATAACGAACTCAAAACTAGTTATTTGATTGGAGGAAACAGAATGAAACTTATTGGAAGATTGGGATGAAAAATTTTTTCAAAAGGGATGAAAAAAAATTTACTCGAAAAAGAAGTGCAAAAATGGCCGTGCAGTAAATGTTTACCCTTTAAATCCATAATCCGGAGATTTCTACTATCCAAGTTTTAGAAACTATATATATATATGCTAACCATGTATTTGGATTCATTAATTAATCAATGTGTCACATGAAGTTCTACATTCTGAAAAATCCAGTCAGTACACAAGATGTTCAGTCGAATTGTTTCAAACACTGATTACTTAGATACATAACTTAAATGATTATAAACATTATATACAAGACCATAATGCACCACAATAAATAGATTACACTATTTGCATAACTGGTGTATTTTTGATGCAAAGTTGAGTAACTGACGCACAAATAATTGACTGTAATTTATGGACGGTGAGGAATGTATGTTACAATTTTGAAATCAAATAACAATTCCATAAAAAGACTGCCTAGTAACCAGTCATGACTTTTTTTCGATTTTCTTTTTAATAGATATATTTGTTAGAATTAAGGTTCAGTTGTTAGATGTAAGATGTTTTATGATTTTTCCTAATAAAGTGATACCATCAGTGCGTTTAAGACTATACTTCTCAAAAACAGTTTACGTCTTGGTAGGAGAATGTTATCTAAAGACTATCAAGTTGTGGCTATACTTATTTTTATGATTGATTCACGGATTAAGCTACCGTATTGTTTACTGATTATTTCGGTTTTTCAAGCAATCAATGTGAAGTTAAAAAAATTGTCTCTATGTTCGGTATAAAAATTGCTTTTTGATTAAGTAAGTAATTTCAGTCACCGACATGAAAGTTAATAAAAGTAATATCTGCAAATACGAATGTGATTTTAAAGTAGAAAACATCTCAGGGAAAATGTTAGTTGACTGTTAACTACTACTCCTAGGTGCAAATCGATTGGTATATTCTCACCACCATTCATTGTGTCTCTTAGGTGCTAAAAACCTTTAAAATGCTATTCTTCATCCTTGGTTTATATATCAATTTGTTGAAGATTGCCACTTAAGACTACTTCAAAAATATTCACGTGCATACTTGGACACATAGTTTGTCTTTCAAAACATGACATTCATAACGTTGCATATTACTAATTTCTTCCTGGAAGACATAAGATCAATTCCACTTTATACATGAAGGCTTTCATTTAATCGTGAGTGAATGAATTTATTTGATGCTGATAAATACTTTTTGCATCATACTTTGCCTGTATATTCTCAGTGATTTCACAGGAATCTCAGGCTCATAAGTTTTTAGTTATGTTAGGTTATTCTTCATGCTTAATAAACTGAACCCCTCACAACTTTTCTTTGTTCCTAAAACTCAAACTTATTACATGGGAACGAACCTAGGACGATGGAACATAATATAATGAAGTTTTTAAACCTTCTTACTTCCGAGGTCTTCCAGGTATGTCTTATGTAATGAAAACGAAGATTAGACAATTTTATTGGATAAGATCGGTACACGTCGACCATTATGGAAATTCGTCCATGTTACCTCATTTTGTGTGTATATTGGATGGAATAATATGTTAAAGGATTACGCAAAACTCTGTAATGTCAGATTCATTGTTTAAAAAAATCATATTTAAGTCAAATATTTGGTCCATTTTCTGTCATAATTCTTGATGCTATTTGAAAAAATCTATATGAATTCTCAAGTCCTATAGTCTCACTTAATTTTCTCAAATTAGATGCATATCAAACTGATGGACTACCAATCAAAGCAACAAAATGTGATCAACTATTTTTCAGTTCATCCTATATCACAATTCAAGATGATCATAACCAACAGATATCGCCTAAAAGCAATAGTTTAAATCAACGTCAAAAGGGCAGTAATGAAAAATTATTTTCTTCACGTACAAAAACAAACGGGAAATTTTTCAGTCCTAATTATCCACAGTTTTATAAAGCATCGATGTTATGTAAATATTATTTTTTAGCTCATTATAATGAACGTATTGTAATCAAATTAAATCATGTGCAATTATGGAGTTACAAAAGGTTAGTTTTGATACTACACAACAACTTAGTACTTTTTTAACATTTAGATCAGAATCTGTTTGCTTCCAAATAGATCCAAGATGTAATTGTATAATGAATTTCTTATTAGTTTTGTTACTGACACCTCGGCCTACAAGTTTCAATAATAATTTGTTTGCATTTTATTGATATTGTTTGCTTGAATCTTCCCATTGATGTGTTAGGGCTGCAATTGATCAGTCTCTTGACACATGTACATACTGTGTGTATTGCCATGATATTGATTTAATTCACAAGCATTCTAAGCAAAGATGGACAGTGGCTAGTAGTGGAATCCAGGACGCACGTTTCGTTCTATTTCATTCTTTGATTCAATGTCAATAGTTCACTCATATGGCTAGTTAGCTCAATGGAATTAATGGGCTTTTTGATCTGAGCCAGTTTGATTGTAACTCTGATTACCTTAATTAATTTGTCTAGTATTTGAGTCGATTGAGTTTAACTAGTGTAACACTGTTCGTGAAAAAAAAGGAAAATTATAACTAGATAATACCATTGAAACATGTGATATATTAGCACAATAAATTTCGAACAGTCTGATCACACGTATATTTGTTAAGAAAATTAATATATAAAAACAAAAGGTCAATTAGATAAATGGAAGGTAAGAGGAGATAAAGATTATAAAGATAGTATGAAAGACAATGTGGAAACTCATCACTCTGGATAATAAGCTAATATTACTAGCGTAGGTTTAAGGTGAGAACGAAATGCTTTTGATTAGGTGTCTGAGCATCTACCTAAATAGTTGCGAAACAAATAAAATCAAACGACGCAATAAGCGTAGATGATAAACATTCACCATCCTCTATTGCAATTTGTTCTCACCTTAAACCTACGCTAGTAATATTAGCTTATTATCCAGAGTGATGAGTTTCCACATTGTCTTTTATACTATCTTTATAATCTTTATCTCCTCTTACCTTCCATTTATCTAATTGAACTTTTATTTTTATATATTAATTTTCTTAACAAATGTATGTGTGATCAGATTGTTTGAAATGTACTGCGTTGATATATTATGCAGTTCTGACAATCTTCATCTTCTTATTACACTGACCAAGTTTATCAAAGGGAATGACTGCTTTAAACATTGAAATAGTTAATTCTCCTCAGATCATCCCCTTTTATAAACTATGAACTTTTGCGTAACTGACGGATTAATGAATCGTGATGAATGGATAACCTTAATTATAGACGAACCATGGCTTATCGTTACCATAGATAATATCGTCCGTTATAAATAAAATTCAAAAATGAATATATATTGAAGTTTGCTGATGATATCGAGAAAGACAATTTAAGCTCCATGATTAAACCATTCAGCTCAAAGAACAGCATCCTCAGTAGTATATATATATATATATATCACTGAGAAAGAATAAATTTTTTGGTGATAGTTTTCTGAAATACTCAGTGTTATCCAAGCTCAATAACTAGGAATAGTTCATTTCTATCGGAACAAGTTTACAAGAATTTTCGCTTGATAAAATTCTCACGGTGGAGTTCTGTTTATTCCCATTAAACATGTAAGCACCGAATCGTTTAGTGTCATGAGTTTCTCTTCGCCATCGGATTTGCTTCTGATAACACAGTTTACTGTATTTGCCAAAACAATCGATAGCCCATACAATGTTCCAATTCTTACCTTCAAATACCAATCAAACTTACGGGAAGAGTACACAAGTACCTACCACCAAAGAGCATTATTTAGAATTAAAAGTTCTTGTCAGTATTAATGCATAAGTTTTAAAACCATCATGTATTATAAATGATAGATCTAAATTTGTACATTACTGGGACATTTATGTTACTCGGCTGATTAGCAGGTGTATGAATAATTTTGAACGGTAAAAGACTATATAAACATATGATGTTATCAGATCTTGGTTTTGTAACTCATACGACACTGTTAATTTTGTATGCAAATGAAATTTACTAAACATTTTTTGATTGTTTTAACTTCAAGTTGATGTAAGATCATTTAAAAAACTTTTAATGCACTCTATTTAACCACAGATTAAACCAGGTGTTAGACGCATTAGAAAATCACAATTAAATCACCTCACAGTTCACGATTTAGAAGAAAGCTTGGAATTAGGGCTTTATTATAAGTAATGCAAACTGACTGTTTAATAAATATGCGATGAAAATATATGTACCTGAATTTTCACCACATTAATCAAATCGAAACAGTTACATCACAATTGCATTCGAATATTTAGAGGTGGAAAAATATACATGAGAATATATGTACTAAACAGTTGTTTTATAAATTTACTCAAATAACAAAACAGAGAGTAAATTGAGAAGGTTAGTAGTCAGGCAATCCTATATAGACAGTCCTGTAGAAACACAAAGTGAGCTTAAATATTTGCTATAAAACCCAGATTGCTATTAGGTGTTTGAAATCAAACAGCAATAATCACAGACTGAGCTAGATTTCGTCTTAGTCTACATTCTTCAGAAAGATGCATTCGGGACATTAAGAGAAAGGATACTCTCCATATAATCTTCATCTGCGTCATCAGGTGTCATAATTAGAGACACTGTCAATGAGCTGTTGTTTCGTAGTATTATTCTGCTGAAAAATAAATTGAGTTCTCTCTCTTTATCTCCCTCCTCCCTGTCTACAGTTGTCATCACACCTCGCAACGTGATACAATTCATTTTCATGAAATCACTACTTCATTATTTGATTTAAATTACTCTTCATTTTTTCAATTGGAAAAGATTATCCAAAACTCAATTGTTTATGAATTAAAAAAACAACTATTGTTCTTATGTGGTGATAAAGATCAAACTGTAATTATCTCAGATAATCGATTTATGATGCTGACTTTACAAACACATGTAGACAGTGTTGGAGCACGTGGATTTGAAGGAGTCTATCAATTTTTAAGTAAAGAAAAGTTATCTTACAGTCAAGGTAATCATGATGATAAGGACATATATAAACATATCGATAAAGAACTATTTCGAAATCCAACTACTAAAGGATTCATGAATACTGAAAGTAAGTATTTCTACTGTTGTAGTTCTAATTAACAACTGTCCAAGGATTGAGAATTTTTATTTGTGTTATATCTAGAGCTTGTATTCATGATATGCCGCGCATAACTGGAACTCTAGAACCCTTCCGAGTCGTAAACGAGAAGACAGAAGACTAGTGAAAGGAATGTTATTCCAGACAGTGTCAATTATAGTACAAAACTGTCATGTATTTATAGTTTTTAGTTAAAACGAAATCATCATTATAGCTATCCAATCCGCACACAGGGGGTTATTAGAATTGTCCAATCGGGAAGCTACACGAAGGGATTCTAAAATATCCTTCCAAAAGATGATTGGATGGAATACCTTCGTCTCTTTCTGAGCTTCTTACAGCATCCTCGAGTCCACCCGTGAACCGTCCTCACAATTTGAGAGTACAGTTTACATCACAAACTGAATTTAATTGAAGAATCATTAGAAATTTTGAAGTTATTGTTCCATGGTTCCGGTCGAGAAAGACATACACTCTACTGATTCGTTATTTAATAATTTCATTGATTGACGTCTAAGGTTTAATTTGTCAGCCAAATACAGTTTCAGAACTTATAAGTTGAAATTATGGATATTTATGTTACTAGTTTTCAAAGCCTTTGGGAGCTTTCAAAACTGTTAAAGAAGAAGTAGCAGAAGTAGTAGCAGTAGTCGTAGTCCTAATCGTAGTTCTAGTCGTAGTCTCAGTCGAAGGAGTAGAACTTTTTTCAATCTCCACAAATGCGCAAGACTAAAAAAGAAGTTTACCGTTTTGATTAAATTTTACTCACTGAACAACATATAGTATAGAAGAACAAAAGTGATCCCTGACATGTTTCTTTGCATTTCCGGAAGCTATTTGATTCTAATTTTACCATTAGCTTGAAAGAAAGAAATCTATTTTCTTCAAATTTGTTAATAAACTGGCATGAGAAAGAAACTACTCAATCGCTGCTATTTCCTGCTCTTGCTTTTTATATTCATATGAATAGAGTGAGATAGAGGGAAAGTGTGAATTTGGATAGTCTCTCGTTTTAAAGAATACTGAAACCCATCGTTGTTCAGTTATTTTGAATTAACCCATTTCTGCTAGCAAGTCAGTCATGTCTCATCGTAAAGTCATGAAAATTCTTACTTGGTTCTAACTATATATAATATAGCATTAAATGAGTTAGAAATAAACGTAAGCACATAAAAAGTTTTCGAAGCAGTAAAATGAACCCATCATTTTATTTAAGATTTCAGTGCTTCTGTGTTAGCTACAATTAGTTTTAAGTTACAATCAATAAGCTTAGAAAATAGGTGCGATTGATATGTTATCGGCCGTGAAATGGTGATAATTGTTTAAACAAGGTAACATAATAACAAGAATTGGGCTTGCAAATACGATAGTACTTATTGTGGTTGTGATTATCGTATAGTTGTAAGTGGAAAAACTAGTGTCATTTTATAAAGGTAGTAACTTTATATTTAATACTATTCTCGATTAAAATAGGTGGTTAGATACTAAAGTGATACAATCAGATTAAAATTAATTTAATGGATGAGGGGTAAAATCGTTAGATTGCATAAAGAATGCCTAATTAGGTTGTTAGTCAATTATTTTTAAAGCTTATTTTTCACTTCATATTCACATTTTACTAAGTGCCTGAAGTTTGCGTTGGTAGAAGTCTTTCTTACTATAAAGTATAAGTTTCTATTCGGTGTCATTCATTGAAAAATTATTTAGAAGCTATGGAAAATGCTGAGAACACTTTGGCTTGTCACCATGCATTTAAATTGTTCTGATAAACTTGATGAGCACAGCCGATTATTTTTAGAAAGAAATTTGATTATAGTTACTGGTTCCTTAAGCTATTTAAGCGTTTCTCTCAGATGTTTCTAGAATCTCAAAATCTCCCATGTTTCACCTTTGCTTCGTATATAATCCAACCTTTAAAGTACAGCTCTCTTTGTATTTCTTTGCATCCGTTTTCGGTTCGCAGTTCAATGATCGAAGATTTCAGAAGGTTAGAAATTTAGTGCATAATGTATTTACAGTACAAGACGTATACGCTTCAAGAAACGTATTCAGAAAACCTTATAAAATTATTTATCTAAATTATCGTGATATACATGGTTTCGAAAATATGTGTAAATTCTTGAATGAAATTGGACTGCAATTCAGTGAAATATACCGATTTAGTAATAGTCAACACACTATCTATGATGCTTGAGAGCTCTGTGTTGATTTTTTTGACAAATTTGTTTCCTAAGCTACTGAGTCTTATATTAGTAAAAAATGGTTGTTCGATTATCCCTAGTATTCGATGACGAATCTCTATGATTCTCTGATCTTTATATTGCAGAGAGAATTGACTAACCTACACAAAGATAAAACAGATCAAAACGCAGAACGTATGATGGGAATTCAATCGATCAAAGGTTATGTCAACAAAGTTTTTATTAGAAAAAAACAAAAACCACACGTTTATCGTGAACTGATGAAATACTTACTCAGGGTTCTACAAATTATTGACTCGTTGATATAGTAAATTATATCTCCAACTGTTTTTTAGACCGTGTTTATATCAAAAATACTGTTTTAGCATATTTAGTATTTGGCTAGCAGCGGAATCAAGGATGTATATTTCGGGCTTATTATATGGGTAAACCAATATCCCAGTGCAGATATTGGTATTGGGACTTGAATACCTAGTACTTATCACTTCGAATCCCAGTCTAAATATACTATAACGTGTGGCGAAACGCTATACTCAATTTTTTCTCATATGATACACATGTGGCTACAGAGACTAATCAACCAATGTTTGAAACATCCTCAACTATAGATTACAAATTTTACTACAAACCTGCAGGTTTTTTCGATGTGGCTTGAACCAAAACTTGACGTAAAATTTCCAAGCAAATAGTTTTAGAGAGAGATGTTATGAAATGAACATAATATACGTACTCCTGAATGCGAAGAAGAGTAAGCCTCAATCATCAAACTGCTTTACATATACATTGGACTTAATTTGTCACTGTAATTATTCATTACTGCAGGCCCTTTATAGGTGGATGATCACGTGGATTAACTATTAATATCGCGTATAAGTGATGAAATATAAATCCTCAGATGTATTTAAAGTATTCTTAATTAGCAAAAAAAAAATGAACTAAACCGTGGACACATTTCAGTAGACTTTATTGGATAAGAAGAAAAGTGTGTGAATATGTACACAACATTTACTGAATAAAAGAAGAAACAAAGTATTTTGCTGATTTTACTAGTGTACAAATACTACGGTAATCTTAGGTGGTAATACTTTTTTTATTTTTTACCTGAGCGAATTCAAATTTCAGTGGATTTCAGGTTTTGTATTCAATAATCTCTGAAGATCAATTCATTTAATCCATCGATCATTAACGTGGTGTAGTGTGATGCCTAATAAATCTTCATCACAATGGCTTATCACTGTTATCTACAGTGCTATATACAAATAATTAGAATATAACTTTGTAGCTATGTTCCAGATTGTAAATTTAAGCTTTAAATCATATCCAGCCATGCGAACTGTTTTCCCTAATAAAATAGTTTGTTAATTAATATCTCAGCACCAAGTACATAATAGATGAGAATTTCATTTATAGAAGCTGCAGCGCTTGAAAATATATGGTTTTAATTGTTCGATGAGCAATTGGTTCAGTATTATCTGGTGATGATTATCAGATCCTGTTTTAGTGATTGAATGGTGTTCTTATTGTTCCCAAACCTGATAGTGCTGAATTCGATAATATATACGTAAATATTTGAACGAACATCGATGACACGTCTTAACCAAAATGAAGCACTAGTTCATGAAATCACTATCTGCATATCTGACCTATTTTATTAGGTACATGTTGTGACTTTATGTCAGGCTTTTTATCACGTGACTTATCCACCAATCAAATACGACTTATACAATCTTATTGCTGTGCCAAACCAATGACGTTCGACGGGTATGAGCAACCTAGTGTCCTTATTGGTCCTATGTCCGCCTAGCCCGTCCACTTGAGTCCAGAACACCATTACCAGCTTCCACTATGCGAATCGAATCGAATCATTTATTTCAAACATACTGGGTTTATGTATCAACCAAACAGACTGCAACGCCCATAAAATAGGAAATAACATTTATACACAATAAACCCAAAAAGTGGCTGTGAACGTGGGAGGCAGTAGTTAATAAGCTGAGCATAATTTAGGGACAGTAAATCGTATAATAACAGTTTATAGGTCAAAATGAAGCTTATAATAAGAGGAATATAAATACACATAATCTAATAATTGAATAATTATACCATAAGAATATATAGATAATTTTAGTCAATTAATGTCTCAGAAGTTACTCGTGATTTAATCTTCCCTCGGATATAACATTACAGACGACCTGGTCATGACCATAGGTTGGAGACGTTGAGTCAGTAATATTTCCACCCGTGCATAAAATCTTTGTCTTATTGTGTACTTTTAACTGTACAAATACAATGTCTCTAATTTTTTTACCATTACCGACACCACAACTATTTCTACTACTTCGATATTCATCTTGATAATTCCACTTCACCATGTCTGATTTGCGGAATTAATTTGATTGGTAGCATATATTTTCTATGTTTTGTCAGGAGCATATGACAGAGGATTCTCAAATGATAACAGATTGACATCAGCCTAAATTAACTACTGATCAGCCGGTATTTATCTTAATTGCTTTCCATTAGGAATTCACTCATATGACATTTTCTCAATTGTGCAACTTCTTAGAAATTTGGTTTACATTTACTCATACAAAAACTTATTTCAATTCAGATAAGAAAACATAAAATGAACAAAAAATCAAACAATCACAGTGGTATTCATTGATTCACTGAACAAGAACACATGTTATGTATTTCATTTGTTAGTTAGTTAATGAGAGGTGACTAAAAGAATTATTGATCATGCGGAAAAAGCTTTACTTTTATTTT